GGCTGTGGAGATCATAATAAACTGGAGATAATCACATTAAGAATGCACATTCAGGAGCACTTCCTTGTGCTCTTGTGGAAGTCATACAGGGATCAAGAGGCACCTGTGAAAACAGAACAAGGGAATACTGCATGGCTTCAAGTCAGGAAAGGTCTGTATCACAGATACATTCTCTCAACATATTTCATCTATAACATATGTTGACCAAATCATCACAGAAGTGGGATCGTGTGAAGAAAACCGTGTGTTGGAGGAAGGTTTACTAACAACCTACCATATGCCAGTGACACAACATAGTTGCTGAAAGTGACAAGGATCTTAAAGGTCCTGCCAATGAAGACAAAAGATTGCAACTCCTTGTATGGATTACTTCTCAATGTAAACAAGAACAACACCTCCCCAACTGGACGGGAGAAAAGGTGGAAGTTGCCAAGGACTTTATCTTGCCTGAATCCACAATCAATATTCATGGAAGCAGCAGTTAAGACATCAAAAGAAGTGTCCTCTTTGGTTAATCTGCTGCACAAGACCTCTTCGGTCCACTGAAAAGCAGGATGCTATTTAAAGGACGAAGATGCACCAACACAGGGCCCAGTTTTCTCAATTTTGCATGTCAAAGTTGGAAGGTGTGTACAAAAAGAATTGATGCTTTGGAATCAGGTTCTCGAGAGGAATGCGGAAAGGACCATGGACTGTCTGCTTCCAGGACAAACAGAGGTGTCATAAAAGATATACTTTAGAAGCAAGAGTGGCAAACCTGTGAAGATACAATAAGAAAGTCCAGTTTGGACAACAGGAAAGTGGGTGAAGGGAGACATGGGACACTGTTAGAAATGATAAAATAATAATAATCTATAAATTATCAGGGGTTCCTGAGGGAGGGGGTAGTCAGGAGGAAAAAATGAGGAGCTGATAATAGGGGCTCAAGTAGAAAGCAAATGTTTGGAGAATGATGATGGCAACAAATGTACAAATGTGCTTGAAACAATGGATGTATGTATGGATTGTGATAAGAGTTGTACAAGCCCCCAATAAAATGATTTTAAAAAAGCAATAGCTGATAGAAAGTTTATATTTCAGCACTGAAACTAAAAGAAGAAAGAAAAGAAAGTAGAATTCCTGCAGAACATCGTGCTTTGTACATTAGAGAGACCTGGAAGAAAAGCAAGTCCCTCAATGAGATGGACGGAGCGAGTAGTTGCAACAATAGGTTCCAGCAAGGGTGTAACTCTGCGGATGGTGCAGGACCAGGCAGTGTGTAATATCGTGGTGCACAGGGTCGCTACAGGTTGAAAAGGACTTAATGGCATTTAAAAGCCACAACAATAACCTTTTCCTGTGGCCATTTGGAAACTTTGCTTCCTTCACACAGTTGAAGATATGTGATTTGCTCTTAGTTGCATTTGTGAAGGTGTTTCTAGGTATGAAACTCTACTGTTGCCTGCTGTCTTTCCTCTCTGAATAAACTTGAATTTCTCAAATCCACCTGGTCTTTGTCTTTGACTGAAACAGGGACAGTAGATCCTGGACACACCCCTTTTATTGGGAACACTGGGATTGGTCAGCGTTAGAAAAGCAGGAGCAGATCCCTGTGCAGCACGTTTGTCTCAGCTCTGAAGTCACTTTTCCTCACTGCTCACATGTCCCCCTTCATACAAATGCAGTACTTCAAAGGATGCTCTCTCCTAGCATCCCTGTGGCTGTTTGACTTAAAAATTTGTATGCACCTGTGTCAATGTCGGGGAGAAGTCAAACCCATTTTTTATAATCATTTTATTGGTGGTTCATATACCTCATATCTGTCAAGCACATGTGTACATTTGTTACCATCAACATTCTTAAAACATTTGCTTTCCACTTGAGGCCTTGGTATCAGCTCATTTTTCCACCCCCTTTGAGCTCCCCGCTTCCCTCATGAACCCTTGATAATTTATAAATTATTATTTTGTCATATCTTACACTGTACCACATTTCCCTTCACCTACTTTTATGTTCTCGGTCCCACAGGGAGGAGGTTATATGTAGATCCTTGTAATCGGTTCCCCCTTTCCACCACACCCTCCACGTATAACCACTCTCACCCCTGGTACTGAAGGGATCATCTTTCTGGATTCCCAGTATTTCCAGTTCCTATCTGTACCTGCGTACATCCTCTGGTCCAGCAAGATTTGTAGGTAGAATTGGGATCACTGTAGTTTGGGTAAGGAGGGAGGCAGGAAGCATTTAGGAACTAGAGGAAAGATGTATGTTTCATTGGTGCTACATTGCACGCTGACTGGCTCATCTCCTCCCTGGGACCCTTCTGTAAGGGTATGTCCAGTTGCCTACAGATTAATCTTGGGTCCCCAATCTGCATTCCCCTTCATTCACAATGATTTGATTTTTTGTTCTTTGATGCCTGATACCTGATCCCTTCAACACCTCGTGGTCTCACAGGCTGGTGTGCTTCTTCCATGTGGGCTTTGTTGCTTCTCAGCTAGATGGCCGCTTGTTTACCTGCAAGCCTTTAAGATGCCATACTATTTATAGCCCGGCACCATCAGCTTTCTTCACCACATTTGCTTATACACCCACTTTGTCATCAGATATTATGTCAGGAAGGTGAGCATGATGGAATGCCAGTTTAATAGAACAAAGTGTTCTTGCATTGAGGAACTCAAACCTTTCAATCCAGTGTAGCTGGGTTATGTCTCGGGCGGGGGGGATGCAGGGAGGGGGGTGCTTTTTGCATAACTAAAAGATGAGTAGACATAATTTCTCTTCTGCCCTGTCTTCCCATTTGGTTAGACTCTGTGCCTTCATTCATGGGTTCCCCGCTACGGTCCACTCCACCCAGAACTCTGTTAGCAAACTGCCATGCTTCCACCGATTTTGGATCCATGCAAGTCTGAATTTAAGCCTATGATCAAGCCTAGGATCCCCTGATTTAAGCCTATGATCAAGCCTAGGATTCACCATTCTGCATGGTCAGCTTGCTGTATGTCAGTATAGAAGGAACCCGCTAGCATTGGACCTACGGAATTCAGTTGGACTGGGCTGGGATATCTTCTTGATTAAAGAGTACTTCTGGATATAAAGCTCTGTCTCATACATGAGTGACAACA